TGGGAAACCACCGCAGTGCAGATCGAAAGGCTCCTTCCTGATTAAAGAGGCTGGCAGGATTACAGCCCGCCCCTAATTACCAGCGGTTGTTATGGCCCACTTTCAAGGAAGACAGGTTGGCAATTTAATCTGCTCGGGAAAAAAAAAAAAGAACTGTATTTTGTTTCTCCCCAAATGATTTTTATTTTCTCCTAAAAAAATTAAGCATTGTAATGCACTGGGGAAAAGGCCCAGCCTTCCCCCAAAAGCAATTGCTCAGGCCGGGAGACTACGGTTATTATTTTGCTATTAAGCCCCTGCATGCTCCACACTGCATAAAACCCAAAAAGCACCCCATTTTGCAAAGGGGGTCGAGCCCAGGGAGGGACAGGGCCGCCGATGGCCACGTCCAGCCCCTCGGGCCGGCGGCTTGCAGGATCCGTGCACGTGGTGCAGGTGAAGCACGCGCCATCCTCCTCCTCTTGCTTCCCTCACCCCTTCCTTCCCAAGCCCTCCGAGCTCGTGAGCAGGCAGGAGGAGGGCAGCCTCGCCGGGAAGCGCGGCAGCATCTCACCCCCTTTATGCAGGCAGGGCAGCGGGCAGGGATGGGGCTGGTGCGCTGCACAGCCACGATTGCAAAGCTCCTGCTCGCTAATTGAACTCAATTAGGTGGCTCTGCTCTGTGCCGCAGCCCAGCCGTCCCCCTGAAAGGTTAAATTAATTGCTGAAGGTCAGGCAAGACCAGCGAGGAGCTGCTGGTGCCCACATCTCCTCTCCAGCCACCCCACTGCAGCAGAAGAGGCACAGCCCTGCTGCTGGGCTAAAAATAAAGACCTCTCCTGATGTGGAGAATGACAATTTGCTAATTAGTTTAATATACAGCCTTAATAAAATGAAAAAGTAATTTAAGTAAATCTGAATTTCAAGAAAACAAAGATTTGATTTTCTGATCTGTTTGTTAAGAGGAGATTCATTCCCACCCCCATTTCTTGATGTCTCTCCCTTAAACAAGCTCCACATAATTAAACTGTGGAATCCCTAATAAAAGTTTGTCCTTTTTTAAGTCATGCCCTGGCTGGAGCAATCCGCCTGGATGGCTTCAGGCTCGCTTGTTTGCAAGGCGCAGATACCATCGAGGTCCAGCGTCCATCAGAAATCAAAGGGAAACCCGTCTCGACACTGCACGCAGCCCCACGGCGATGCCGCAGCCGCCCGCCCTGCCCGGCTCACCGTTGACCGTGAGGTGGACCCAGCTGCCGTTGTGGAAGGTGTCGTACTGCTGGTCCAGCATGAGCACTTTGCACTCGTACCAGCCCTGGTCCTCTGAACGGACCTGCTCAATGCGCAGGGAGGCTTTGTCATGCAGGCTGGCCCGCCCTGCGGGGAGAGCACAGCCGTCAGCTCGGTGGCCCCTGGCCTCACGCAATGGCCCCCCAGCACCGAACCAACCCCCCAGGGGCATTGCTGCAGGGGACAGCCTGGCCCAGTGCAGGCACTGAGCGGCTGCAGCAGCTTTGGGGCTGGGCAGAGCCCCACCATGCCCAGTTATGGGGCTGCTTGAGCCTCACAGCACGGTGCTGCCAGTTCCAGCCAGCCGGCAACACGCTCGCCCGTCTGGGAAGGGCAGAGCAAGCTGCCGCGGCCAGGCAAGGTGCCTCGAGCGGCGTCTGCCTGCAGCGACACCGGCCTTCTGCTCCCAGCCAGGGGCTGGCGGCAGTACAGCCGGCAAGCAGGCACACCCCAAAGCCTTTCCCCAGTCTGGGAGCTTCACAAAAAGCAGGGCAGCCCCAGACTGACACTGGGTGCAGCCCGGGAAACCAGACCGGCATCAAAGCAGCCCAAACCTCCACCCCGGCACAGCAGCCACTGGGCTCTGGCATTGCTCAAGCATGAGCTGAGTTTGGCTAGGCTCAGCCCAGGCTCAGGTGCTGGCACCCTCCCTGCACAGCAATCCCAGGGGAGCAATTTGGGCAGAGGAAGCCCTGCAGACCCTGGAAGCAGGGCAAGATTCATGGAATGGCATAGTAAAACGGGTCTGCCCCACCACATCAACCCCCTCGGGGCTGGTCCCCAGCTCATAGATGCTACCAGAGGCCACCGGCCATGTGGGGCTGGTGGCACATTGGCAAGCAGCCAACATGGGCTCTGCAGCTGCAACCTGCCACCTCCACTCAGCACATGGCCCTGGCCCTGGCCCCATCCCCATCGTCCCCCCAGCATCCCCCCCCAGGCTCACAGCTGCTCCGGGACGCAGCAGCAGCCACCGCCGCCACACGTCACCCTGGGTTTCTCTGCCTCGCTCGCTCCCGTCCCACACAGCCCAGCTGGCTTCCTAGCACTGCTGCTTAATTAAAACCAACTGGGTGGAAAGCGAGCAACGAGAGGCAGAGCCCGTGCGGTTTCCGACAGCGGAGCGGATGGAGCGGAGCTGTACATCCCCGCCTGCACCGCAGTCGGGACCTGACACATCCCCCTCATACCCCCCGGACTCACCGGCATACTCCGGGTCGACATGGGGAGGGTAAAACCCAAACTTGATGAAGATGGGGATGGGGACGCCGAACTTGAACCACTCCACGACATAGGGAGGGGGCTGTCCCGTGAGCGGATGGATCACATCGCATGGCAGGATCACACTCTCGCCAGCACGAGCGGTCACAAACTCGGGCTCCTCCCTCGAGCCGAGGGCACCTGCAAGGGGGCGAAGGAAGAAACTGTGGCTCATCCCATCACCGGACCCCAGCATGGGCATTAGCCGGAGGACCGGGACTCCTGGGAGAGCCACAGCAGAGACGATGCCCGTCCCCAGCCTCCTGGCTCCACCGAGGGCAGCCCCTGGGTCTCCCCTGCCCCAAAAACCAAGGGGGGGGTTCCCCAAGCCCCTCCACCCAGCTCCAGGGCCACCCCAAGACACCAAAGGACTCAGGACGGTGGCCATCAGCACCCGCTACTCCACGATGGCTTCCCATCCTCCATGCCAGGGCAAGGGTGGTGGCCAGTGACCCCATGAGGGTTTTGGGGACCCCCTGCTCTCAGCAGAGAGGTGCTTGGAGGATGCCCAGTGCTGCTCCTCACCTAGCAGCACCTTCAGGGCTGTCCTGCATCCCTGTGGCAGGGAAAAAGGCTGCTTTACAGCCCTGCTTGTGCCCCCGTGTCCTCTGGTGAGCAGGATCAAGCATGCAGGGACCACCGATCCGCAGCTCTGATGTGCCAACCCGGGGATCCAGCTTTCCCACAGGAGCCATCCCAGGGCAGGCTGAGCAGCAATGCTCCAGCCAAGCCTGTCCATCCTCGGGTGTCCCCGAGAGCCCCAGGCCTGAAACCCAGCTGCGACCTGTGTGTCGAGTCTGGCACCCTGCTCCTCCTGCCTGGCCCCCGGCTGGGGTAATTAAACAGGGCTTTGGTCTCAGCCTCAGACGAAGGCACTGCTCCACCCCGGCTGTGCCTCCCTACTCAGCTGCAGCCTGTCGTCATCCTGCTCTCGCCATCAGCAGCAAAGCTGCATTCTCAGCACAGCTTTCAGAAAGGGAGAAGGAAAACCCAGGGCTGGGGGAAGCCAAGGGGGGGTCCCCAAAACTGCAGGCAGAGGGTTCAGCCCAACGTCTCCCTTCCCACCAAGGAAGGGCCCCCCTTTTCCTGGCATACACAGCCGCCGCCTGCTCCAGGAGGGATGCTCGGGGAGGGATGCTCGGGGAAGCACGTTCCCACTCCTCCGCGCTGCTCCTCGGGGCCGCCGGTGATTGGCGGCGAGTGACATCACTGCTTCCCCGCCGCGGGAGCCGAGCATCACCGGCTATTTTTGGCTCCAGCACAAGCGTGTACCGGCAAAAGGCCCGTGCCGTGCCACCCCACCGGCTCACCGGCCGAGTGGCCCCATGGGAAAGGGAATCGGCAGAGCCAGCTCTGCTGGCAGCCCTGGCCACAGCCGAAACCCCCTCCCCACTGCAAGGTGCAACGCCGCAGAGGAGCACAGCCTTATGGCCAACCAGGCATCCCTGGTCCTCACAGCACCGGCAAGCTGGGCGCTGGGGCTAGATGGCGGCTGTTTAACTGGGAGGGCTGGCTGGTGGCAGCAGGGAGGGCGATGCCGGGGTGCAAAGATGTGAACCATCTGCAAGGAGCAGATGCTGCATTGCACGCCTGCTGCAGGCACCCAGCCCCACTACAGGAGTCCCACATGGCCACATACCTGCCTGGACCCCATCCAGGCCGGGGGAATGCTGTGAACGCACGTGCAATATGCATGCACACGCATGCACCCTGCTCCTGCACCCCCACTTTGCGCCGCCCTGACGACACTCTTGCACCTCTCCGTGCCTCGTTATCGCTGCATTGCCGATGAGCTCAAGCGTTCGCACCCTGTCAGCAGGGACAGTGTCAGCCCTCCCCTGCCACCCCGGCAAAGAGCTGCAAGGACCTGTCCCAACCCCACTGCGCCCATCCAGGGGGCTGCGCTGCGGGGCTGGGAACCCCCCTCCCTGCCCACGGCCCCCCTGCGCTGATCAGGGACAGCAGCTGTCACGTGCTGCTCAAGAGCATCCAAGGACGCGTGCTTCCCCAGCCGCCTTGCCTGAGCGAGCGGGTCCCCAGCACCTCGCCACCTTCAAAAGGACAGTCCTGCTTTCTACCGGCAGCAGGGGATGGAGGGGACAGCACCCCAGCCCGTCCCTGAGCCCCCTGCCTGCCCCAGCCCACCAGCTCCTTGGGTACCAAGGTGGGATCTTGGTTTTCAGCTCCTCAATGCCAAATGGAGCCTGGGATACTGATGCTTGCCCAGCTGGAGAAGCACACCATCCAAGAGGCCACCCAGATGCCCCAAGGATGGGTGCCGGGGAGTCGTACTCACAGCCCCTGCCAGGATGCCCTGACTTGCTCCCCAGCAAACCGGTGGGTGACATCCCCAGGGAGGGGACGAGCCAGCCGCTCTGCTGGACCCATGCCTGGCCAGGGCCGCCCGGGCAAAGGAAAATAGGTCAGCCCCAGCAGCTCGCAGCGCCGGTGTCTGATCGCAAGGCCGGTGGGGAATTGCACGCACGGCTGAGCATCGCCTCCCCACGCGCACGGCCGGCTGGCAGCCACGGCGGCTAACCAGCCCCTGGCTCTCCCCAGCTGCCACCCGCCCCACCATCGGCCCCTGTGCCCTCCTGCCCCTGCTTCCAGAGACAGCGGGAAAGCAGTGGGGAGATGTTTTACAGACCCTCCTTGGGTCTCCTCAAGTTCCCTGCCCACTAACCCTACGCTCCCAGCTCCAACCAGGTTTTCCTTCCAAGTCCTGGCTGCTGAAGGCACAGAAGAGATGGAGACTGCAGATCTCAATTCAAAGAGGTATTTCTCACCCCCACATTTGTGGGGAAACGCTTGAAAACAACCTGCAGACGCCAGAAGAAACAGAGCGCAAACAGACAGGGTATTTTTAAACTCACTTGATTTTTCCCAGCCAAGTTCAGAGGGGTTTCAAGGCTTAACCTGCAGTTTGGAAATAGGGTCAACATCAGGGAGCAGCAGCGGGGATGCAAACCCCAAATCCCCCCTCGGTGCGGGAGCTCGTGCAAAGCTGGGGGATGCCTCGTAAAGAAAAACAAGTAATCAACAGGCTTCGTCATCCAAGCAGATCCAGGAAAAATAAAAGCACGCCGCGTGCCAGGAGGCAAGAATACAAGATGCGGAGGTGGAGTTGAACAGCATCCCAAAGGGAGAGGAGGGAAGGCTGCTGCCGCGTAGAGACGGTGCCACCGCGGGGCTCCCCAGGACGGTGATGCGAAGGCTGGGAAGACCCTTGCCCAGGTCCGGGGATCCAGCTCCTCCCATCCCGAGAGCAGAGACGTAAGGCAACACGGGACTTAGTGAAGCTGGGGGTATCCAGCATCTTGGGTGCACTTGCTGAAGTGGGACCCTTCCTGCAGACGCTTCGCGAGAAGGACGCAGCCGTGGCAGAGCAGGTTTCCAAATGAAATAGCCCTGCACCTCGGCTCGCAGCAGGGATAAACACTGATCCCACGGCCAAGGGACGATGGCAAAGAGCCCGGGAAGGCTGCCCTCCCCAGCAGACACTCATGCCCTGGAGTCAGAGAGGGGATCCCATCCTGATCCCCCACCCCAGGCGCTCATCCCCATCCCTGTCCCCCCATGGGGATGGCCAAGGGAGCAGGCACACGGCCCCGAGCCCCTGGATCTCTCCTCCTTGCTGAGCAGAGACAAGATCTGCTCTGACACATCCTGCTCACATTGGTGGAGGCGGGATACGGCAGGGATCTCTGAGGACAAGGCCACCAGCACGGCATATGGAGACCGGCAGGGAAGGAGAGCAGGCAGCCAGCGTCACAAAACAAGCAGGGCAGCAACCACAGCCTGGGGAGGGGGACAGGGACCACCCACTGCAGGGAGCCGAGTGCTGAGCCAGTGCATGGGATGGGGGGACAGCCGCCTGCCCCTCACCTCCCTACCCCCCCAACAGCTCAGTGGGGGCTGCACCCCTCACCGCAAGCTTGGTCCCCCCCTGCCTGCCCAGGGGTACCCACAGCCCCCTGAGAGCATCCTCCTGTCCCCTGGCAGGGGCAGCCCTGCGGGCTGGGAGCACAGCCCTCACCCCCTCCCCCAGCTGGAAAGCAGCATCTGGGCTTTCAGCGCGATTCCTGCGTTTTAAACCCGATTTTCCAGATGGATGGAGGGCGACGCGCAGGTCAAGTGACATGCCTCAAGGTCATGCGGGGCCAGCGAAGGAGCAGGATTAGCTGCGAGGGGTGGCTCGGCACCCTGTTCACGGCAAGACTGTGACTTCAAACCCTGTCCCCAGGGACAAGGGGTATCCTGCGGGACTGCCAACACCATCCCCACACAGGCAGGCAGCTGCCCTGGCACCCCCAGGGGAGCGTGCATGCCCAGGGTGATGCCCCACGGCAGCCCCCCGCCCACCACGGTGGGTCCCCACTCCCGAGGATGACACTGGTGGGATCATGCCCAGTTGGGTGGCAGCTCAGCAAGCACATGTGCTAGCACAGGTCAGTGCTCAGAGATGGAGCGTGCAAGAAAATTACTTCCTCGTGGTCACCCCGGTGTCCCCACTCCCGCCTGGGGGTCCTCAGCATCCCCTCCCTCTAAACGCCACTGGCCCGGAGTAGAGCATCCCCACGTGCCGCACAGCAGGCGCCTCGCGGGAGCCATCATCTCCCAGCAACGACCAGCAGCTACCTGCGTGCTCCCTGCCAGCTCCCTCCGCGTGCCGCAGGGCCAAGCAAGCAGCTGCAGCGGCAGGAGGCTGGAGCCGAAATCGCTCCTGGGGGAGACCTGCTCCTGCACCCGGAGAGCACTGCCAGGGCACTGTGCCCCCCAACCCAGCACATCCAGACCCACATCGCACCGGTACCCATGTGCAGGCTGCCCACGTCGCCCCTACAGAGCAGCGCGTACAACCCTGATGCCATCACAGTCCTCTGACTGGTAACTGGGATGCAGGCAGCGCTCCCAGCTGCCCGTCAGCAGCTCCTGAATCACGCTGTTCCTGGCTCAGGCAGCCCTCCCACCAACGCCAGCCTCTCCATCATCAAGCGGGAGGAAGGGAGTTGTTTTTCCAAAGGCCAGCTGGTCGCTCAGGGCTCCCAGCTCGAGAGATGCCTACCACAGGGGAAAGGAGAGGGAAGGACTCCTCCATCAGCATGGCATGGGGCTGGACCCGCTGCTCGCCCATCTCCAGGGCTTCTCCTCCAGCCTGAAGCCACAACCTTCAAGAGAGAGGACTGGAGGTGAATGGGAGCTAACCCATCCTGCCACGGCTCCGGAGAGGAACTTACAGGGTCCACTTATCACCGGCGAAGCTGCAGCTTCCAAACCAAAAGGCAACCGAGCCAGGAAAGCATCACCGCAAAATCCCTCCGGCAAGCCAAGTCAACAACCAAGACGCGCACGTCCCTCCCTGCCCCACGCGCTCCCATCTAACAGGTCCAGAGGAGCAGAAATCCTCCAGGGAAGGATGGAAACCGGAGCTGGGTCAACCGCCTTGGCCGGTCCCGGTGCCAAACCATCCCCTTGCCAGCGGAGAGTGGGGCCAAAGCCGCATGTGCCAAAGCCGGCGGCTGCTGATGCAAACCCTTCCATGGCCGAAGAGGCACCAGCGCTTGCGTGCAACAGCTCTGTGCCAGGAACGAGTAAGGGATGCAGCGCTGGCACTGCCACGGTGAGCCGCTCCGACCGCCCAAGGTCAGTGCCGCGAGCATCACCTGCCACGGTGTCCGGGGGGACCTCTTCAACGGGAGCCCTCACCCGGGGCTGGTGAAGCCAAATCCTGCCTTCGCAAACCGCACCTGCTGGATCCACGACCATCCCCGCTTGCTGTGCGGCACCGCGTCACGCTCGTGGGAGAGCGAGGAAAAGCCCCTCGGCGTCACGGCACCGCCGGGAATGCTAGGAGGCCAGACCCCTCCTCCAACACCCACTCCCGGCACGGTCACACCCTGGCTCTCCTCCCCCATGCCGTAAGAGGGGATAACGCGTCCTCCTTCCCTCTCTGAGCCGATTAACGCCTGGAAAGCCCTTAGAGAGCCAGGCCAGGCAAGAGGGCTGCCCCAGGGCCAGCACCGCTGCATCGCAGCCTGGCTCTGCGAGGAGGAGGTGGCAGTACGGGGAGGAAGGCCACGGCCAGGGAAGAGCCCCAGCGAGGGCACCGGCACATGGTGAGCCCCAGCTCTGCTCCGAAGCCCTGTCCCCAGGCGATGTGGAGTGACAGCCCCCCACCAGGAGGGGACGGTGCTGGGGCCGAGAGGCTGCAGCGGCCGCGGGCTCCTGTCCCCACGTCACGTACGCGCCGCTCCGTACGCACAGCACCCCCACGCTTGGGGTCCCCGGCAGCCACCCACCCACCCTGGCAGCAGTTCAGGAGCCCCATCCAAGTGGTTCCAGGGTATTTCCAAGTTCCCAAGCACTGAACTCACTGCTCCGCTCCTCTCCCAGGCGGAGAATCCCTCTATAAACCGCTGCTGCAAACCACCCCCTCGCCACGCCGCAGGATGCATTTCAGACAGGCAGCAACTGGCCACGGCTCAGCAGCAAGAGGGACCCCGTCCCCCCAAAAAGGCAACCCCATCCTGACCCCCACCCCCCCCCCCCCCCCCGGGGCCCGGCCGCCCGCGGCGGGGG